TGCAGTGCAGCCTCTGAGCTGTGCAGTGTATAGCGAGGGTTTAGGGTTTAGGGTTTCGGTTTGAACAAGCGTTTACGTCTTAGGGTTTTCTAGGGTTTAGGGTTTTTTAGGGTTTAGGGTTTAGGGTTTACCTTATAGAGTTTAATGCTGCGGCTGATGGTCATTCTCTGCCCTAAACCACTAAAGCCGACCTCCACTAATTTTTTGGGGTTCAAAGAACGGTGCCAGTAGCGGCACTCAGCAACAGGCGTAGGAAGCACAACACCTGTACACACAAAACCCTAAACCCTAAACCCTAAACCCTAAACCCTAAACCCTGATATTAACCAGAAACCCATAGTACGGCCAACAGCTTCAAACGACAGGGGGTTAGAGAGTAAACACAGAAAGGAACAAAGAGAGAGAGAAAAGTAAAGATAAAAGGAGAAATAAATAAATGAATCCGAGGAAATATACAAATAAAGAAACAAAGTTGAACAAAATATACAAAAAAAAAACAAAGTTAAACAAAATATACAAACAAAGAAACAAACAAAGAAACAAAATTAAACAAAATATAAAAACAAAAAAACAAAGTTAAAAAAAAATATAAAAACAAAAAAACAAAGTTAAAAAAAATATGAAAACAAAGAAAAAGAGTTTAAAAAAATATAAAAACAAAAAAAAGCTGAAAAAAGTATAAAAACAAAAAAAGTTAAAAAAAATATAAAAAAAAAGTTAAAACAAATAAAAAAACAAAAAAAAAGTTAAAACAAATATAAAGACAAAAAAAAAGTTAAAAAAATATAAAAACAAAAAAAAAGTTTAAAAAAAACAAAAAAAAGTTAAAAAAAAATACCTGCTGTGTATACGGCCTGCCAAATGCCTTTTAAGTTCACCCGTCGCGTTATTTCTTTGATTAACACCTGCGTATACACCCGAGATAAATAAAAAATTCGTTTTTTTTTAGCTTACACTGCTGAAATAATTTAAAAACAAATGCAAATGTTATAAACAATATACGCGCAATAAGGTGAAATAGAAAACCAATAAAATAAAAAAAAAACGAGACAGAGGCGAGCTCTGAGCGGCTCAAAGATAAAAGGTTTTGTTATAGTTTATATAAACACAGAAAGAGAGAAAATGTAGAAAACAGATGAAAACAGTAAACAAATGAAAACAGTAAACAAATGCAGCAAAACAAATGCTGAGAAATATGAATAAGAGAAGACGCAGAGACAAAGAAAAAAATAAAAACAAAAAAAAAACAGAAAACAAAACACAACGAATGGCTGTGATGGAAATCAAAGAAATGTTGCAGCTGCAGCAGCCCGTGGTGTTTGCAACAAGCAGTGAAGCAAAGAGTGCACAAGGGAGAAAAAAAAAAAAAAAAAAAAAAAAAAAAAAAAAAAA